CATAAAGATATCTACAGTGGATGAAGTTTTTTCTTTAAATACTGAATTGAAAGTCATTGCCATGACCACAGCATTCAACTTAAAGTACTTAAGGTTAAATTACCTATTTAAAAGCCTGACTTTCCAGCAACTTTTTAATAGACTAGAAAGCCAATCTGATGACAACAAACAAGCAGCTTCTGTTCCATGTAGGGTCAAATCCATTCCAGTTACTTCTCTCTGGAGAAGTGGAAACAACAATGTAATAGATACATCTCTGTGTTAAAGTGCAGCTAGGCTTTGATTGCATCATCCCAACTATAAAACTAATTGTGAGCTTAGTAAATAACAATTCATATTGCACAAGTAGAACTTGAGTTACTGCACACAAAGGGCATTTCAAGCCCCTTTCCACATTCAGCCCATGATTGGCAGGATGCTGCCTGGAGATACTGGATTTTCCCAGCTTCCAGCAAGCAGCCTTAGGGCACCAACCGTGCTTGTGTACTCAGCACAGCAATTTGGTTCCAGGGCAATATGTTCAACTTCCCCACATCAGTGGGTTTGTACATCTTATGACCAAATTAATTTTCACATATGTTACAATGTGAAGTACTTCCTCCTTCTTCAAGAATGATTTACAATTAAACTTTGTCCTGCATATTCCAGAAGATCCATGTCACAAAGAAACCTGAGCTAAAGAACAGATTCTCTAGTGCCTAAGAGCAGGCAGGAATTCATACTGCATTCTTCCCAACCATTAAAGGAATCAATAGCATCCCCTTCTATTTGCAGTGACATATTTTCATAAAACTCTAAGGAAATTCATTATGTTTTCAGTATCTATTCTCACAACTTCAGCTGAATTTGACTGATGAGTTCAGAAGTTTTTGGGGCCAAGTTAAATAGACAAAGTGACCCAATGCAATCCTCAGAAACCAGACTAAAACAGGACACCTAAGGGATTACTAATACTTACCTTCTTTATAGTCTTCATTTTTTGGACCCAATTCTGGCTTTGCAAACTGGCTACATTAAGAAAGAGGACAGAGAAAAGGAGAAAAGGATTGCTGAATTAGAAGTACACAAATCTTGTATTGCATTACACTGTACACTTCCCCAAGACTGGGGGAGTTCACCAGGTTTATAATCTGTGCTCTACATCATGCAAAGAAAAGCCTGTGGGCTCCAAGGAGGACCCAGGCTCTGAGTCTGCTGAGTACCATACACACACAGTTCTCAAAGAACAGATACTTCCTAACCATAATCTTGATGCTCCATAGGGCAACTAGTGTCTCAGTAACCAAAGAGGAGGGGAGATCTCAAAGGAGCTGTGAAGAAATACATGGGTTTTATGCAAGCAGTCTTTCACCAAGAAGAGTGATTCTGGTTTTAAGAGACTGGTACTGATATTAACAGACTCATATTCCCCTGTGGACTCTTAGCTGTAGATTTGCCATGACATGACTCATTGTGCATACTTTCTCTTTTCATTGCATAAATTGAAGAGGAATTGAACACCTAGAAATAGAATACCTCATAAAATGTCAACTGACATTTTTCCTTAGCATTTCTATGCTTTTATCAAAGGTAGAGTTTAAAACAGATGTCATGTTTTTCTCATTGATCTTAGTGTTCACTGAAACATTCAATGTTGTCAGAGAAAAATTCCTAGGAAAAGAAGTAAGAACATATTTATGTCAACAATGTATATTAACTCTAATCAGAATTTAAGTCCAGCCCCAGCCATACCCAGCCCCTCTGAGGACCAGCTGGGACACAAAGGTATTTGTGTTCTGCCAAACTTCTATACCATTAATGCAGCAGAAAAACACCTTGTCCTGCAAGTAAAGTCTAATTAGCAGAGTTTTTCCCGTCTCTGTTCCATTTATAATAGCATTGAGAGGGACATTAAAAGATTTCTTCCAGAAGGATGGCATTTACCCACAGAGACCCAAAGGGAACTGAAGATAGACTTTTCCATGGCTGTTGATCTTGTTCATATCAGTGTTTCTGCAAGGAGGATGATGCTATTCACATTTACTATGTGAGGAAATCTCTGAGAGCCATGGGACAGGGCTTGTTCAATTTAGAATCCAAAGTTTCATAACAAGTACACCAAACTAACTCTCATGCTGAAAGTGGCAGAAACCAGAATAGATTCTTCTACTTCTCCATGGTAATGCTACCATGGCATAACATAAGTCAATGATGGAGAAGATGACAGAAGTGTGAAGAAGTACCTGAGGATTGCAAAGATGTGAGGAGGTTATACAGGGAGAAGATTAAAAGGCCAAAGTTCATGTAGAACTTATTCTCACTAGGGCCATAAAAGGCAAGAGAAAATGTTTTTACTAGTATATCAGCAACAAAAGGAGAGCTACAGAGAATCTCCATCCTTTACTTGACACAAAAAGAAACACAGACACGACAGATCTCAGGGTACTCACCCCTTAACCTGGAAGACAGGGATTGAAAGTAGAATACGGCCCATATAATCCAGGAGGAAATGGTTAGTGATCTGCTACACCACTTAAAACACACAAAAATCTATGGGCTCTTATGGGATCCACCCAAGGGTACTGAGGGAGCTGGCAGAAGGACTTTCCAAGCCAATTTCAATCATCTACCAGCAGTCCCAATTAACTGGAGAGGTCCCAGCTGACTGGACATTGACAAATGTAACATCCATCTACAAGAAGGGTTGGAGGAGCCTCCCAGAAGATACAGGCCTGTCTGTCCGACCTTGGTGCTTGGGAGGGTCTAGATCATCTTGAGTGCCATCACATGGGCTCAGGCTCAGCCAGCATGGGTTTATGAAAGGTAGATGCTGCTTGATCAACTTGATCTCCTTTTACAATATGGTGTTCCTGCTTGGTGGATGAGGCAAAGGCTGTGGATGTGGACATTAGTAAAACCTTTGATACTGTCTCCCATGGCATTCTCCAAAAGAAGCTGCCACTGCCTGCTCATGGCTTAGGCTGCAAAAGTAAAGTAGCAGTTTTTAAGTAGATTCCACAATCTTTTACAAGGAAAAAAAACCAAAACAAACACCAATCCACCACCCCAAGGATTTCTTCTTTCTTAGTTCACTAGTTTTGAAACTGATGGATTGAAAAACAAACAAACAAACAAAAAAAAAAACCTTGATCCATGCAACTGAAACTCCTGAAAGTGTTCTGTGGGAAGGAAACAGAGCCCATGATAAGCCTCGCTCCGAGGCAGGGCAGACCATTTCTGAGTTGGATTTGATCTGTGTTTTCCATGGAAATGCAAGACAGTCTGGAAAGAAGAGCCTGACTTGGAAAGCTAAGAGAAGAATTTTGGCTTTTGAAAGCTAAACACTGAACTCCTGCAATCTGAATGATAGAGTCATTGAAGTAGCAGCACTGAAATGCAGACAGTATGGGCTACTTGACATCCTTTACAGACATGTAAGTTGTCTCTTTTTTATGAAGGAAGACCACGATTATAAAAAGTTGAAGTAATATTTTCACCAGATTAGATTATGAGTTTTTATTAAGCACAAATGAGTCCCGATTTTTAAACAGAGTTTTGTTTTTAATGCATCTAAAGCAGAACATATAAACACTTGACTAAAGAGTGTTTCACAGGTGCTTCTGGACAGCTAAAATTCACTCAGAGGTTACATATATTTTATGTCAAGTGCTGGTCCTGATGCCTTTCTGGCATCAAATATGGGCACTCTCTGTCCATTATTAAAATAAAAGCAAAGCAGTGTCTAAGTTAATCTTTATGAGATAACTTTTCAGGTAAGAAACGGAATCAAAATAAACAGGGAAAGGGAAGAACAAATAAACCAGCAAACCATGAGGTGAAGCAGAAGGGTTATATTCCCAGGGGTGCAGGCACCCCAGGGACTGGCTCTCTGCAGGCTGTCACAGCCCCCTAGACCAGCCACCCCCCTCAGAGGGGCTGCCAGAAAAGGGGGATGGTCCTGGAGGGGTCCCGAGTACACCCATGGCTGCTTCTTCACATGCGCCACGCACCCGACAGCTGACCCTAAACCTCTTTATCCTCCCTTTTCCCTCCATGGGGCAGCAGTCTCCAGTGCATTCCAGCAAGACTGAGGTTTCCCAGCTCCTCCCAGCAGTCCCAAGGGCTCCCTGCTGTCCCCCCGGGCTCCTGGCCAGCGCTCCCCACTCCTGCACCCCAGGGCACTCGGGTGCCTCCCAACCCATCCCCAGGAGGCGACAGGGCTTGGGAATGGCCCCCTGTGTCCTACTCCTTCCCTCTCAGCTTCTCTTCACTAGAAATAAACTTGGAGGAAAAAAGAATGAGCAGTTCCAGTGTCTTCCAGCGATTAAAAAAAATAAACGTTTGGAAGGTTTGAGACAACAGCAGGCATCAGAATCAACACACTTTAGAAGAATTCCACGCTGTTCTCTTGAAAAGAAAACACTGTTGTCCCAAAACGAGTTCATTGACTCAGTGTGCAAAAGGCCAATCCACACAAAGTAGAGGTATTTGATTTATTTGCAGTTCTGTGCAGAAAAGGGTGGAAGGCAGTAAATCCACAAAGCCAGCATACTGACTATCAAAACTTTGCAGACACTAATGTTGATTGGCTCCCAATTACATATTCATCATGCTAATTAATATTCAATCTTCTATTAGTTGAATGATTCTCTCGCTTCATATGCTAATTAGCCTACAATGCTCAATCTTCTTTCAAGCTGGTGTTCACTTTTTTCAGCTGATGCCATCCCTTCTTCAGACATCTTTTCTTGATCCAGTGGGTATGATCTATTACTGGAATTACCTAGTTTAATAACTTTGCCTTGTTTTGTTCTTCATAATCTGTCATTATATTGGTGAGATTTCACTAAGTGTAGCTGGTTCAGCACTGTTATGTCTGGTTTCAGTTATGTACTTAGCTTCTTTCTTCTGTTTTTTCTTTCCTATAGCTGCTACAATTAGTGAGACATGCTGAATATAACTTATCTATTTGGGAGCCATACATGAACATTAGAGTATGTCAGGTATACTGAAGTTAGGTATCACAGCCAACTGAGGGCTTCAATTTCTTTCTTCATTTCCTAATAAGAAAAAAAAATAAAAAGACAAATTAGGTGTCACTGTGAATACAAGCCTGAGAACCCTGATAACGTCTTCATCCAAAGAACCAAGAATCTGTACATACATACAAGTGTTAGTAATATTTAGCCTATACATATGCTACCACCATCACAACATCTTTCTAGCCCCACTAGCTTCAAACATGTCCTTAGGCATGCAAAACAGAGAGCAGGCCAGAGAAACTGCAGGGATCTATCTCAAAGAACAATGGATCTCTAACAAGGTGCTTTCAACAATAAAAAAGAAGACAATTTCTGAAGAGCCGCTATTGAAAGCTGGAACTAAAGCTAAAAGTAGACAGAAAATGAACCAAAAAATCAAGTCCAGTCACAAAAGCCCACAAGCCCTGATATAAACCAAACAAATCCCTCCTCATGCTAAAACACATTATTTTGCTAGATGAGAGAAGGGTGCATTTTTCAGGAATAGCCTCCTTGACTAAAGGGAAGAGGCTTCTTCTTTTTTTAAGGCAGACTTAGAAGCATAAAGATTTTAAAGTAATTTCATGCATAAACATCTGAAAGACAAATGGATTCAAGGATCTCGAAGCTGAAGACCAAATATCCAATCTATCTAAAACAACTCAATACTGAGAATGCCTGCCTGGGACCATGGGTGTTCTAACAACTCAGAAATCCTCTCTCAGAGGAAGAGATTAGAGAGTTGGACTCAATAGCATCAAACCATCATAAGCAGAAAGCTTCTTACAGGTCATATCAAAGATGCTTGAGCCATGCCAAGTTAAAAAGAAAGTCTAGTGAGCCTACAGAAAAGTCTGAAATTCTTGTAATGTTTCATATTTAATTTATTTTCAAGAATGGAAAGTGTTACCATGTGTGCCTGGCTGCAAGGGGAGAAAGAGGAAGTGGCGGACTGAGAAAAGCACTCTCCTTTCACAGCCCCCTCATTCTGGAAAAGCTCTGGAGAAGGACCAGTGACAGGTAGATTAACTGGTTTGAGAGGCCTGTGTAGGTGGATCCATTGCCTTTTTCTGCTGAAATTGCCAAAAATTATGCCGAATTCAACAATGAGTTTCCAATATGAGTAGATATCTTCTAGCCTGAAACGAAATTCTTGTAGCACAGGCAACTAACAGTAAAGAGTGATAAATGTGAGCACATACATATGCATAACATACACACACACACGTAATACCATGTGACAGAAAGTGCTATAAGACAAAAAATTACCTCCACTAATTCGGTTTTGTCTGGATTTTCTCGCTGCTGGTAAATGCACATGCTAAGAACAGAATATAGTTTTGCCATGCTCGATATACTGACGTTCTCAGTTGCTGTGACAACAGCAGCCAACACTTTCTGAAGAAAAAAAAAAGTGGAAACTACAATTCAGAATAGGACAAGGTATGTCCTGCTTCCATATATTGTTAAATAAAAGTGGCACTTAGGAGAGCTGATTAAATATCGCAAAAGATTTAACAGGAGAAAATAAGTTAATTTGTCACACTTCAGACAAAAGGAAGGTTTAAAGTCCAGACAATATTTTCTTACTCATCAATCTATTACATCAGTGATCATAACTGCCAATCAACTGCCTCCAGAACAGCGGGGAATGACACAATCCACTTTGTTATAGAGTAGCTGCCACCCAAAAAGTTGTATTTCATTAGAAATGCAATATAGGGCCCTGGAAAATCTATCTTTGGAAGCCAGGCTACAGATCTTCCAGATACAGCTGTGCCTGCTGGAAACAGAAGCTCCTTAGGTGTTCACCTCTACCCATTAGCTGGATGTGTACTGTGCCAAACACCACTTAGCTCCCACCCTTCACCTCAGGAGTGGATGAACTAGCAGAATGACTGCCTGTAGCAAATTACCAGTCTGTCACACAGCCCTTCTGTTGTGGAGATGTGAATGTGCTAATCTGTGGAAATGCAGCACTAACAGGCTAGTAGCACCACTGCTGTTCAGTAACTCTGTGTTGTGTGAGGTTGTGAAGATATAGCTTAAGAAAGTAGCTACACTGAATGAAAATATTACTGCCTCACAGCTGCTTGCCATTAACTCAGCCCTGCTCAGATCAGTTAGCACAAGATTCAAGTATTTCCCTAAATTCCTTCTATCCAACGTGCAGGTAAGAGGCACAAAACCTACACAGTGTGCTTTCAGCTGCTGCAAACAACATGTAGGACATGACAGAGGTGCATGGCCAACATCCCCAGTGAAACCACTTCGAATTGCTGCCACATAGGTGACTGCATGCTTTTCTATTTGTTCGTCAAGTTCTACGCCTATTACCAAGCAAATAAACAGAAACTGCCACCAACCAAACCAACTTAACAAACCCAAACAAATAATAAAAAAACCCTATCCCATAAAAAACCAAGAAGATATATTTTGGAGGTTTACCCAGCTTATTGACTTCAGGAAATTTCCAAACAGATTATCTGGTACAAGCATCAAGTTCCAGTGACATTCAGATTAAGAAAAAAAGTTTTCTAAAAAGACTTGTTTCTTGACTGTAGCTTTCTCCTCACAGCTGAAAATGTGAGCAACAAAACCCCTTAAAATGTGCTTCCTTAGGACACCAGCCTTAGAAAGCTAGTTTCACTTCTACAAATTATGCCACAGCTTAAAAATGTGATAGAAATTGTGTGGACAAGCCCCTTCATCACAGGGGATTCTACTCTGGTCATGTTCTCCCCATACAGAGGAAACATCCAAATAATACTCCCTTTCTCAGACAGCTAAACTGCAGCTTCTTCTGCTTTGACCAAACTCCAGGACTTCAACTACCAATTTCCAAATTTTCGTCCAAGCAATATTCCCTGAAAGTCAGGTCCTTCTTTTATACCCTCTCCAGTTCAAGCAAAGGAATCTTTCCCCAGATATAGCCTAGGATAACAACTACTCTCCTACAGAGGACTAGAAAAACCTTACAACACTGTAACTGTATGAATGTAAAATTATAACACTGGATTTTGAAAGAATTTTAGACTAGCAGGTATTAGTATTTTATCCAGGAAGTGCTTTAGGTCAACCTGCTAATTTCAGGTTTAAAGCCATAACTGCTAAAAATCAAGGTCCTTTTCTGGTTCCTAATAAATGAGAACATGCAAACAGAAAAACAAAACAACCCTACCCCAATCCATCATAAAAACTGCATTAATAACTAATAGTACTAGAAGGTTATCATTGGGCTATTTTAAAATTTAACAAGGCCTTTAACATTCAAAATTAGGAAGAGAGCCCCATCATCTAAAATACAGCAAGAGCAGTTTACACCAGCTGCAGAAACAACTGTCATAGCCCCTTACAAGCTGAATTATTTCACAAGCTATATATCCCTCTCATAAATTGTTTGAATTGGCATTGGTTAAAAATCAACTTAATTTATAATAATAAAGAAAATGCCCTACTTCAGTATTAACAAAATTGAAGTTACACTTACTCTGAGCTCAGAGTGATCCACATAGACTCCTCGTTTTTTAATTTTGATTGCTTTCTTGTCCCGTACTTGTGGTTGCACATCCTCCTGAGAACATCTTGCAGGAAGGTGTACCCGCGAATCTGGAATGACACAAATTTAAGACAAGATCCCTGTTAATGTGGATTAGAGTGTCTGTGACATATCCTGTACCTGAAATAGGTACCTCTCTGCAATAACAGAGAAAAATTTTAGTCAATTCATGGTGCTCAAATGCAAGTACTTGAAAAATGATTGACAGAGAATCATCACCAATGCAAATACTATATTAGCTGTTAACTTACAGTAACAAAGTTTTATATGCAGAATATCCTTACTTGCATTGTTTTTTAATGCAGGAGGTTCAGCAGCTTGTTTCATAATCAAGTCCTCATAAAACCCTTTTCTTTCAGCACAGGTAGGCCGTGGGATATTGAAAACTTCTTCACGATTAGCATTAAACAATGTTTTTATCTAAACCATGAGGAGAAAAGAGATTTCCAATATAAGGCCACAAAAATTTTTAATTATCTATTCCAAACAAATTAGTAAATTTCTAAATTACACTGAATACTCATCTAGTTAAAACAATCTATTAAAAATTAACAGCTTGGCCTTAAAAGGCTAGATTTTCATAGCACTGCAGACTAAAATACCTTCTCTAATCAACCTTCTAAAGTTTAAGATCCATTTAAAAAAAGTATGATAAACGAATCAGAAAGGGGTGACATTCACCACCCCAAATATTGCTTATTGTACATTTACCCAGCCTGATGTCCTTTAGCTTGAAAATTTATGACAGCTACAGAGGGAAAAGGCAGGGCTCAGCAGACAAGTGCCAACTTTTTGGTAATGTGGGTTGTTTGTTTGATTTTTTTTTTTAATTTTAGAAGGCACTTACTAATTTTATAAAAACTTTTGTTACTTAGACAAAATAATCAGAGCAGAATATTACTATTTTAAACACTTTCCTTTAATGAACGCTCGGATTCTAGAAAGCACAGCACGTGTTCTTAATTAATTTTGTTAAGAAATGCAACTAAAAATTGATTTCCAAGTTGCTTAAACAGAACTTAGTCCTTAGCTTTTTAATTTGTCAAGTTTCCATCTAGATGAAGAAAGAAATTGATTTTTTGGTGAAATAATTTAAATTAGAAATTATATTATATCACTAACAGTGTGACCACAGTACTTTTTCATTATAAATGCTTTCAGAAAAACAAGCTTTTTCCCAGCTACCTTTCAAGCACTGAGTAATCTTCACTAAGTACATACCAAACCATCTTGAAAATACTGAACTGGTTGTCTGAAGTGTATCTATATATCTGTCTAGTAAGCACAAGTGTGTGAAAAGGGAGAAAAAGTTGAGTCAAAGTCAATCTTTTTACTCAGAAACCACTTTAGACAAATGCTTTCAGCATTGTTTTGTCTAAGCAATTTAAGAGACAGGATTCTGGTGCCTGAGTAATAACACCATAAATCTGCTTAAGAGCAGTATAGCATTCCAATGTTTCAAGGAGTTGTAAATTAATGAGAAACTGAGTAACAAAGAAAACATTGACAGAAATACCTCTTCAGGGAGATCTTCATGTGGCACATCAGATGTTGCAAGGAGCAAAACCGGAGCAAAGTATGGAATGTTATTCAGTAGTCCTGTAAAACCAGCTTTCAGTGTAGGTCCAACAGCCTCCCACCACGAAGGAATTTGTGGAATATAAATTATACTTGGTGCTGTTCTTTCAGCTTCTCGTATCAACTGGTAAAGTGAAAGCTTGGATAAGAAAAACTACATCATGTAGAACAGGCCACTAAGTAACCATACATCAGTCAGACTATCTTGTGAAATAAGTGCATAAAGCCAAGACATCAAGACAAACCAATAAATGAACGACTCCTTAGCAATAAGGTAACATTTTCGCGTTGACTCAAACATAGACATTATTATGCAGACAGAAACAGAACTGAATCAGATTTCAAAACTACTTAGGGGTAAGGTAACTCCTAAAGAGCCTCAAAATTAGATGATGTTTCAGGATGTGCCTGAAAAATCAAGACTAACTCTTCATCAAGATGTGTTAGACTGGAGAAATTGCTACACAACTGAGACTGCACCATTTCCAGTTCAGTGTAGGCATAAACCCACATTAGATTGCAGAACAGCCTGAACAAAGACCAGTGGGAAAAGATGAGGCCTAACACAATAAAAGACACCCAATCACAAATCATAACTTAAAGCACATTTTATAAGAGGTGACCTGTCCTTCACCTGCCTGAAGCACTAAATCACTCAGGGCCTCTCATTCCTGTCATTATCAAAGTATCCAGCAGACCAGATAATGTGCTTTGAGAGACCACAAACCACTGCCTACAGGTGGCACCTCAATCACAGAAGAGGGCACAAATCTACTGCATGAGGGAGGTGGCAACAGTCCTTTCACATGGCAAATTTCTCCATGCACCATTTCAGAGTAACAATATGCAGGGAGTTCCTGTCACAAGATAGGAAACGTGTGGTATATCCATGTAGTAGACAGGGTATTTATATAGCCATAGGTGCAACCATGACATAACAATAGGAGAATTGTTCCTCCTGTGTGGCAAACAAGTATCCAGTCACATGATGTGTCTGTCCTGACTTGTGCAGCTCTAAAATGCTGCTAATAAAGATAAAAATATTTTAATACAGTGAAGCCAAGTAATTAAATTGATTACCTGCCTAAAGGTAAAAAATCAAAACTGCAGTAATCTGCTCATATTTATTTTTTCTACCTAAGGGACACATTTCACTTTACACATTTAAGCATTCCATGAATTGCAATGCTTTCATTGCATTTCACTGCAGCAGTACAAACTGTATATGTATATTCAAAAAAACTTCACAAAAATTTTGGGTGCCCTAAAAATACAATAAAAAAGAACGTTACAATAAGTGTATGACGCCATCAGGCTGATGCAGAGCCAGCTACTGGGAGCACAGAGATTTAAGAACCAACAAAAACAACTTTCTGGATCCCATCAAGACCAGCAGGATTACTTTCCACAAAGAGAGCCTTATTAGCGCACTTCCCATCTTCCCAAGCTGCTAGCAACATCCTCCCTATTTCAGTTCAAATAGAAATGAAACATGGCTATGTACAAATATCTGTATTCAGTATCATTCTGTCTACAAGAAAACTGAATTTTTAGACGAAAGTAAGCACATAACAGCAAATCCAAATCAGGCCAACTCCACTAACAGTGAGTTGTGCTTATTTCACTAGTCTAAATACAGTTCAAGAATCCTATGAGATCAACCAAAAAAAGCCCCAAAAAATACCTGTGAGCATGTTTCTTCCTGTGATGTGGTGCTAACAAACAAGGTGGATAAATCTAGTGTATAAGCTGGAAATTTTTCCAGGGCGTGTAATACAGCAGGTGCTAAATCAAAAGCCTGCCCACATCCTGGCTCTTCAACTAGTAAGAACCGTGGCCTGAATGATGTTGGCTGGTAAGAAGAATTTCTACAAAAATAAGAAGAAAATAAGTTTTAAAAAGAGTGATGAAGAGGCATACAGATGTTAAATACTTTTCCCATACTTTTGGGTTTTTTTGTAAATATGCTCCATGCGATACCAAATAATAAGTTGGTCTGTGATTCTGTGATCAAGAAGACCAGCCTATTTATCAAAGTCTATTTTCTCAAAAACTGGTATCATTTCTCTGCTAAAAAATCCTGCCAGTCCTCAGCATGTCTACTATTCCTTTGGCTGGGTAAAGTAACAGTTCTTTAATCCCACAGGGGGAATGTACACACAAAACAGCTGGTCAGTAACTTTATAAACAGCAGAATAACAACTCTCACAGCACAAACCAGTCTGGGTCTCTTCACTGTCCATACACAACCATTTTCAGCTTGTCTTGACTTTAAGTGAGATCTCTACTCCTGTCAAATTTAGCTAAAATTTGGCCACAGTTCCTGGAGATGGTGGGAAGAAAGGGGCAAAACCATATTCCTAGGAAAAAAACTAATGTGGGTACTGAAACACATTAGTTGTATCTGAAGAAGAACATGTCTAGATTGCTTAAATTACAGCACTACACTAAATATGTATAGAATTTATATTAATTTTATTCAGTCAGTCTAGTGGTTTCATCTTTGACTTATGTTAATTTCCTAGTCATCTTGTTTACTTTCATGAAATACATTTGTGAAGAGGTTTGTGCATTTCCCACCACACTATTATTTTACCTTTACTTGCTGAAGCCAAAGATTCTAGAGACCAACCAAGCTCAGCAAGTCATATTTTTTGGGCAGCACAGCCATAGGAAGGGAGAAAAATATCTGACAATAATGTATTTTTAAAACTATTGGACTACGTGACTTCCACAATTAAAATGTCAAAAGATAACAAAAAATCAGTAGGGTAAAGGTAAAAAAATGCAGATATAATTTAAATTTTTCTCACAGTGATTTAACAAACTAGTTCTTGATTTTGTTTCTGTTACATAATTTGCTACTGGTTCAACCATCTTGCAGGGTAGAAGGGTAAAAGATGGCTACATAAAAACATAGAGGTTTTTTAAGCTAAAAGGACAGAATGAGCTTTTGGGGGGTCACACAACAGTTTGACTTAGTAAAAGAAGGCTGGGCTGATCAGTTTGACAAGTTAGGGCAGTGTAGCCAGAACATTTAGATCTAGTACCCAGTTGGATCTTCCCAGTTGAATTCTTGCAAATATTGATCACCCATACACACACCCTTAACTCCTTCATCTAGCAACCCTCACATATCTACATAACATTTCACAGATTCAGCCATCTCAAAAATGTCACCATAAAGAGGATAAACATGTACCTGCTAAAAGTGCGGAATTCTGCTTTTTTGTTGTCAGGCTTCTTTTCAGAGGTTGATGGTAAGTCATCATCACTGTCAAACCCATCATTCCCTAAAATAGGATTTAAAGACAAGAGAAATTTGTTATCTTTACTGAATAGTTCATATCTGGCTCTTGCTTTTATACACCTTTGAAATCAGTGCTGGAAACCATTTCTCTTGCATTTTGTTATTTGAATGCTATTATCTGAAAAGTACACCCTACCACATCGAAGAAGATTGCACAAGTCTATACAAAGATGTCCTATGTCCTATGATTTGCAGCAGGTATTTTCTCTCTATTGACAAACACGTGGGAGGTTTTTCCTTAGAATTAAGGTGATCAGGAACAACTTCTGTAGTTCCTAGATACCAGGAAAATCCTTCTCCCCTCATTTAAGCATTTCTTTACTATATTAGTAATAATTATTGGCTACATCAGTGGACAAAGAAAGTTTTTGACATGTTCCCCCACAGTGTCCTTCTCTTTAACTTGGAGACAGATGGATGTGATGAGTGGACTGTTAGGTGGATAAGAAAGTGGTTGGATGGTCACATTTAGAGGGTAGCAATTAATTGCTCAGAGTTCCAGTTGACATCAGTGACAAGTAGTGTCCCTCAGGGTCCCTACTGGGACTAGTGTTACTTAATATTTTCATTAATGACATAGATGAAGGAATTGAGTGTAACCTCAGTAAATTTGCTGATGACACCAAGCTGAGCGGTCCAGCTGACACATCTGAAGGACAGGATGCCATCCAGAGGGACCTGGACAAGCCCAAGAACTGGGACAATGGGAATTTTATGAGGTTCAACAGGTCCAAGTTCAAGGTGCTGCATGTCAGTCAGGGCAATTCCCAGTATCAACACAGGCTGGAGATGAACAGATCAAGAGCAGCCCTGCCAAGAATGACTTAGAGTTGCTGGTGGATGAGAGGCTGGACACGACCCAGCAATGTGCTCTTGCATCCCAGAAAGCCAGTTGTATCTGGGGCTGCATCCAGAGCAGTGTGGGCAGCAGTGCCAGGGAGGGAATTCTGCCCCTCTGCTCTGTTCTGGTGAGACCCCACCTGCAGGGCTGCATCAGCCCTGGGGTCCCAGCACAGGAAGGACATGGACCTGTTGGAGTGAGTCCATAGGAGGGCCACCAAGATGATGAGAAGGATAAAGCACCTCTCCTATGAGGAAAGGCTGGGAAAATTGGGTTTGTTTAGCCTGGAAAAGACAAGGCTTCAGGGTGACCTACTTTTGGCTTTCCAGTACCTGAAGAAAACCTACAGGAAAGATGGAGAAGAACTCCTTGCAAAAGCATATAGTGGGAGGACAAGGGAGAATGTGTTCAGACTGAAAGAAAGTTTAGATTGGATATTAGGAAAAAATTCTTTACTGTGAGAGTGGTGAGGCATTGAAACAGATTGCCCAGAGAAGTCATAGATGCCTAATTCTTGGAATTCTTCAAAGCCAGTCTGGATGGAGCTCTGAGCAACCTGGTCTAGTGGAAGGTGTCCCTGTCCAAGGCAGGGGGGCTGGAACTAGATCACCTTTAAGGTCCCTTCCAATGCAAATCATTCTATGATTGTGCAGTTTGGAAAGAAGTGCCTCATATGTGAAACCTTAGATCCATTTCTGAAATGATTAACAGGATGTGAGCTACTGTCAGTAACAGGGGGCTCCAGTAGAGAGCTCATAATTCTCCACTGTATATTGCAAGTCATGCACAGCTCCTACTCTGCACACGTGAAGTATGAAATTGCACCATCATTATGGTTGAGAAGTTTGTCTATGTTGGTTGCAGAAATCAGAAGTCTTTGCTTTGGCAGGATTGTAAACAATTAGATGTTATTGTAATACCTTGGTTCTTCTTCAGTGCAAGCTTTGCATGGGGAAATGCTCTCTGCAAGGCTTGTAAAATTCTTTCCAGAGTGTTTTCTAACAGCGGCTTTGAAATAGCTGGTAGTGCCCTCCCAGGTGAAGCCCCAGCTCTCTGTGATGCTGGAACAATCTTCTGCATGGCCGTGGCAAAATCCTTTGTTGTTACTTTAATTGATCTGGCATCTATCTTCAGTCTTTTGTCACTCTCATGTATCTGCGGATAGCGGCGGCGCAAAGCACAGAGCCCAGCTTCAACACATAAGGCTTTAATATCAGCACCACAGAATCCTAACAAACAAAACAAGAACCACATTACACTAACATATATATGTGTTATATAGGTTAAAACCTGTCTGGGTGGCTAAGCCAAGAGTGTTCATGAATGATGCCATTCCAGTTGGCAGAGGGTTCACTGGTGGCATTCCCCAAGGCTCAGTACTGAGTCCAGTCCTTTTTAATACCTTCAGCAGTGTCATGGATGAGAGGATTGAGTACACCCTCAGTAAGATTGTGAACAATATTACATTATGTGAGAGTGTTGATCTGCTGCAGAGCAGGAAGGCTCTGCAGGGGGATCTGGACAGGCTGGATCAATGGGTATGAGGTTCAACAAAGCCAGGTGCCAGCTCCTGCACTTCAGTCACAGCCCCTTGCAATGCTACAGGCTGGGGGCAGAGGGGCTGAATGCTACCCAGGGGAAAAAGATCCACACTGCTTTCAAACTCACCAACACATTTCTCAGACAGGTCTTCAAGTAAGTTGTCCGATGGCTTCAGGGTCCAGTCTCGTGTGTGAATTTTGAAAATTTCTAATCTTGCCTGGAAACAAAATGGTTGCATTTTAGTTTGCTTTAATTTTTCTCTTAAGACAACAACCACAACATAAAACCCCCAAACCTCTCACTCTAGTGCAAATACCTTTCCTGTCTCCTAAACTTCTAAGTATTTTAAACATCAGTTATTAATACACTCGCTGCTTCTTCAAGCAGGAAACATAATAATTCCTAAATTCTTACATCAAACTGTTGTGGGGGATGCAGCAAAATAAAAGATAGGTGAATCTTCTATAAAAAGTGAGTTTTATAAGTGTGAGACCTAAAGATTTTGAAGAACAAATTGTATTAAAGCCTCATCTGCAAATAGACATTTTGCATCAAAGAAAATTTCTCTCAAATTTAGCAAAATTCCAGTGACCATTTCAGTAGTTCATCAAATTTGCTTTTCTGCCAGTTCATTCAAAGAAAATAGTCCTAGTCCATTTAAAATTGCTACAGTTGCTACCAAGAACAAAAACTATGACTCAAACTACTGTCACTCATCCAGAAAATGTCAAGCATTGCCCATTCTCATCTCTGATCCTAGCAAGACTTTCAGTGAAATATCTCCTGGTACACAGATTAATTATGGCACACTTCTAGAATTCTTCCACAGCAGGGAATTGCGTATTAGGTCTATTTCATGGCACTTTGTCTCTTGCTCCTGAGAGCAAATAAATACTGGATACAAATATTTGTGCTAAATGCACTGTTTAAGGTATTTTAATAGCCTTCATTCCAATCAACATTTTGTCTTTGCTCCAAAAAGTGCCAAGAAATATCAGTGATAGCCAGAGAAAAATACACAAAAGCAAGGTTACAGTTTTGCATTCCATCTCTCTCCCAACCATCCCCACTCCAATATTTTTGGTTGTTATAAAACAGATTTCCTCACTGCTTAGCTATTGCCATTGAACTCAAAGTGCTGCACCTGTGCAGCATACTTCATATCTTTGTCCAAGAGAGAAGCAACTACCTGTTGACATCACCTTATTCCTATATATATTCGGTACCAGGTGTGCCCTTCACAGTACAATGGAATGGCTCCAGATATTCCTCTTGTGTCCAAGCTGTACACTACAGATGGAGACTTGCACTGCTCCACGATGCTGCCTTGTTACAGGGCTTTGTTAAAAAGATGGACTTTGCCACATAAGGTTGATTTGAAGGTCTGACCTCTTTGTTTGGTAAGTTGAAGCGAAATTCTCGTTCAAAGCGCCCAGGTCTCCGTAAAGCAGGATCTATAGAATCCAGTCTGTTGGTGGCTCCTATTACCACAACCTCTCCTCTGCTGGCTAAGCCATCCATAAGTGTCAGAAGTGTCCCCACAACAGAGCTAACAGAAAAATATAATTTTCATTGACTGGTTTAGTAAATTTTCTTCAGTCCCACGTAACCTTCTCCACTGATCCTTCAAAAAGGACAAGTTTTTATTGACAACATACTGATCAGTGAAAGAATTATTTTAAGATATCGCATAATACAGATAAGGTAACACAGACCTTGTACTGATATCAAGTTTAGTGAATTGTTTCCAGTTATTTTTTAAACATTATCTGAAATTCACTAGCACTGAATCACTAGTTTTCAGGTTGCATCAAGATAAATAGGTTGCGGTCTTCTTTTCACAAAGATCAAACATCTTCTACATAGATACAAAACACGTCCTACCTATGAACCTGGTCTTGTTTACTGGACCGTACAGGAGCAAGAGCATCGATCTCATCAAAGAAAATAATTGAAGGTCGCATCTGGTAGGCCTGCAAAGAAAACACTGACATCAGGAAAACAGTACTACTTGAAAGAGAAAATGCATGAAAGACATTATGGTTGGAAAGGCACTGGGACTAGGTTTTTCAGACTAGCATCAGGGATCTCTACTAATTAACCTAATGTGAAACAGCAGCCTGTCAACCCACTGAGACTGGGTGACAGGAAACAAATCATACCAGTAGTTTTTATTGCTATTTTGCAACCATGAGAACAGAGACAGGACTCAAAGTTTCTGGAAGCGACCTCCCATTACTAATTTAAATGAACATGTTTTCACCCTGCATCTGTTTCCCTCTCACAAGCTACCATCTATCTCTTGCTTCTTGGGACCTTTTTTGTGACTGAGTTGTGCGTATGGTGGATGGTTTTTTGAGGGTGATGGTGGTGGTGGTGATTTTCTTGTTTGCTTTGCTAATCTTTTCAGTACATCTCAAGAGACTCTACTGGAAAGGGGAATACTGATAATCCCATTTCAGTGGAAGGAGATTTCAAAACATTAAAAAGAGTGAGTTCTTCCTGACCACAAAAAGTTAGTCACAATTCCAACAGAACACATGGCATGTTTCAACCTTACCTGCTCAAATACTAAACGAAGCTGTCGTTCAGATTCTCCTACCCACTTACTCATGCAGTCAGCAGCACTTCTCATAAAAAAGGTTACTTTCCTGTCACCTCTGCTACACTCATTAGCTAGTGCACGAGCAACCAGGGTCTTTCCAGTCCCTGGTGGACCATAGAATAAACAGCCTCTACAATTTAAAAGAAAGAAATTTTTTAAAAATTCACATAAGAAAAAACGTCATGGAAAAGTATTTATTACAACCCCCATCCCTACAACACACAATACTGCTCTCCTAAGATGAACATTTCATGGTTAAGGTAGTAACAGCTGAAGTGTGAGAAAAGTCAAAAATGTTCCAACACAATTCTGCAAAGCAGAACAAAACAAACTAAAGCAAACAAAATGAATAAAGAGAATAACGCTGATCAAAAAAATCTTGAGAAAAGATAGTAGCATGCCAGTTCTGAAAAACAACAGAGATGGTTACGGTAGAGCAGAGCGAAACAAGAGCAAAGATTCCTCCAAGTCAGAATCTGAGACTGGGCTAACTTAGGAATCATCAGTTCCTTTTTCAATGATAAACTGCATATTCATTCTTGTTTTCACAGAAGTCAAGATTTGAGGGTAAAGCATTTCATTCTCCCTTGAAAAGCTTTAATTTACTGGATTTGGTCTCCTTTTGCTGGTGATTAAGGCAGAGGAAATAGTCTAAAAATGAGAAGGTATTCTGCATTTCTGTATTTCCACCAACTAGAAGAGCCAATGCACTCCTCCTTCAAAAACAATTTCAATGAATAAAGAAGCAAAACACAGATTTTCTTTTCAATGTTTGTAATACTTTTAAATTCACTAGAAGCAAAGCATTTGAAGTCTTATTTCAACATACCATGACCAAGAATATATAAAGCTAATGAATCTCTAATAATCTCATTTCATAGCACAGAACTAACTTAGCTGTGTAAGAAGGCGACAGATTCTTTTTTAGCCCAAGCACAAAAAACACTGCAAAGTTCTAGTTGCAAGTCCCATCAATTGTAAAATTAATACCTGAAAATACTTGGGGAAAAAAAGGGTTGATGTAAGATAGAACTGGACTTCCACAAAACAGACTACAGTTAACTAGCAGCTGATAATTCCTTCCTGCTCACAAACTAATCAAGTCCACTTGCATGCAGGACTCTAAAAAAAAAAATCTCCAACTCCACCTTTTAAAAGATAGTCTTGCCACACAATAAATCTCTGAACCTACATATATGCTGTATTCTATCCCTTGTTTTTTTAAATTACTTTTTGTTAGTGCTAAAAAGATCCATAAACACTGCTGAACATTTTGAAGCATGGAAACATGTTGATATCTCAGTTGAATATTCTCCTGAAAATAATTAAGAACTTACAGTTTTAAATGGTGTCTCTTACCTTGGAGGTTTAAATTTCAGTATCTCAAAGACATCCGGATAAAGCAAAGGCAAAATGACCATCTCTTTTAAAGCTGAAATGTGGTCAGATAGACCACCCACACCATGAAATTGCACCTAAGGATGAAGTCAACACAACACATGTTAAAGAAAGCTGCAACCTCTGGAAGGTTTCATCACAAATTAGATGTCAGTAGAAAGAAAATGTTAATAGCAATTTGAAAATTGCTTGAGAAAAGAACTGTTAAGTCAAGGGAGCTGTAGATGGCACATTACTGGAAGCTTTCATAAATACTGCACATGTCTCACTGACAGAATGAAGTAAAAATACTTACTGAACCATCTATTTGCATTTGCTCCACACCAGCCAGACTTGCTCCAATTTTCATGTGATCCCTGTGAACTTCATTAAAGTTGCCTTTCTGAGTTGCTTCAGTTTTCGTGTGATCATTTCGAGCTCCCTTTATGCCACCTTTCTTAGAGTTGGCTGAAGGAGACCTAATTTAAATTAAGGAGAAAGAAAAAAGTGCTTTTAATTTATGATGCAGTTAGATGATTTTTGGTTTTCTAATGATAGCAAGTGAATCCAAAAGATCTTATAAATGAGCGTAAACTTCCTAAATAGTTATTCATTCCAACTTTTTTTATGTTTAATGGCCATGAGTGAATACAGAACTTTAAACTGAGTTAATTATTTTAACAACTCTTAGCACTTAAAAATATGACTATTTCAACTTATAATTTAGAATTTCATTAAGCATTTCTCTTGTTTAAGGGTAGTTTCATAAAGAAACTTGAACACTCAGGAGTGATTGAATAAAAAAAAATCCATTGAAACTTCCATACAGGCTCTCCCTGTAAGCTGTCTTCAGTTGTCGGAGTCAGTAAGTCAGGAGTCTCTCTGATTTCTTCAGAGAGAAATCAGAATGCAGGGATTGAGTTGAAACCTTTAGATGGATTAAAGTATATTAGGCCTCTCACTTATAAGGCAGAGGTGAAGATTTAGGTTGTAACATAAGAGAAAGAAAATAAGTAACTAAATGGAATAAGTTTTAAATGCGTTTAGTGAGTAAAAGGTCTTAGATGCCTGAGAAGTAGTACATGCTCTAGTGAAGGTTGAAAAACATACTAGTGTTTTCTTAGAGGCTCCAAGAACCTAGCTTCAGACATAATAGAGTTAGAGTTAAGAATATTGTTTACATTTTTCAGTTAGAACAAGACAGGCCATGAACGTAGTCTATACGTAGCCTGGCGTGCTAAGAAACCAGAATTCTAATAGGTTAAGAAGTAGTGGTCCGAGTTTGTGTCTTAGCTACTTGTTAAGTTTCTATAAAAGAACATGCATCAGGGAGAGCTGGGGCTCTATGCCATGGCTTTATGCCATGTGCATTTTGCCATTGCATATTGACACTGCAGCTTTGCTTTTAACCATTGCTTTTATGCCACGGCTTTTGCTCTGCTTTTGCTTGGCTGCACTGAAACCAACACCCAAGAGAAGATAGGAGCTGCCCGGCTCCTCCGGCCCTGCTGGGACCACGGGGGCTTCTGCTTCTGTTTGGGACTTTGAGCTAGAACCTGGAATGGGCTTTGTTAGCTTTGACTCTGCATTTGAGACTGATGTGCTTCTGCAATAAATAACTTCACAGCAACTACTAGCCGCTTTGCTTTTTACATAAAAGAAGAAGAAGCCCCACAGTGTGGGTGCACAGGAGGCACACGGAGGTTCCCCGAAACCTCACATTCAGTTTTAATATATTGTACCCTTCAAGATTAAGTCTTAAAACTTAATTTGTACGCCCTCCATGTCTAACATTTTCAGAGGGATATTATGGTTTCCATTCCAGAAAAATGAATTTCAGTTACAGTCTCAGCCACAACCCTCATCATCACATTATCAGTGACCAAAAATAGTTTTCAAAGAAAATCTAATGGCTAGTAAAAAGTATGGCCTCCCCTGCAGTGTTTGTTTCTCTTATACCCTCAGACTACCACAGTAATAATCTGCAATTATATTAATCCCTAATTACAACCAGTCCAAAAAACCTTGAAGGCATTATTCAGTCATATGACCAACAGCACTCTCATAAAGGGGAACTATCATAAACCATACACCAACCTTTTAGGTTTTTTGCCTGAATCTCTCCTTTTGCCAGATGAAGTACGCTTGGACAACCTTAGGTTATGTTTTCTTAGATCTGTTGAAAGCAAAGAATTTATAACTTGTTACAAACAAGTTTGAGATAAACCAAGATAGTCAGAGGCAGAAAATGGGACAGATAATATCCATCTCTAAGTTCAGGGAAAGTTTCAAGGAGGAGATGTTGGGTGGTTTAATCAGTGCACAATAGAAGTAAAAAGACACACACCTGATTTTTAAGAAAAATTAGAAAACCACAAGAGTAAGATTATCAAGTCTCTTTAACTGCTATTCTTTTAAGTGTAGATAAGTCTTTTTTTTAACTGAAAAGAAACAATAAGGATGCCAAATGGCAATAAAAAAATAGAATGCTCATAGGATACATGCATTCAATAAAATGTACTGGCAGAATCAAGTAAGAATATAAAGAGAAGTTGTGTGCATGTATTTTCATTTAAGAAAGACCTTAAACCAACAACCGCCCATTTCCATGCAAGAAATCAGCTCTCAGGAGAAACTATATATATATATAGTATATATTGTATAACATATTGTATTTGGCTGAGATGGAGTTAATTTTCCCCACAGCAGCCCTCACAGTGCTGTGCTGTGCCTTGGTAGCTGGAAAGGTGTTGATAACACACCAGTGTTTTGGCTGTTGCTGAGCAGTGCTGGCACAGCATCAGTGCTGTGTCCCCAGCATTCCACTCCCAAGCAGTAGGCTGACAAGATCCTGGGAGGGGACACAGCTGGGATAGCTGACCCCAACTGACCAAAGGGATTTTCCATACCATATAACATCAGCTTAGCTATAAAAGTTAAAAAAAGTATGAGGAAGGTGGGACATTTATAATTTAAAATGTTTGCATTCTGGAGCAATCACTACACATGCTGAAGCCCCGCTTTCTGGGAAGCGGCCAGACATCACTTGCTCATGAAAAGTAGAAAACAAAACTTTTATTTTTTTCTTTCTGCACAACTTTTTTCTTTTGCTTTGGTGAACTGCCTCAACCTACAAGCTGTCTTCCATCTTATTTTCTCTCCCCAGTTGAACTGAGAAGCAGGAGTGATAGAGCAGCTTGGTGAGCACAGGTGTCCAGCCAGGGTCAGCCCAGCACACCTACTTTCCAATGGAGATTGATAGCGCTCAACAGCTTTCCTCTGCCGGAAGGAGCGACGCAGACCATTGCCTTCTTTTCCTTCATTCCTTTCTGGTGAAACCACTGCACATCAACACAATGTTGAGTTGTGTAAGTACTGTTGCAAATGTGATGCATTCAAAACACACTACATGACATATTCCCACCTGTCCATAACTTCCTATTTTGTAAGCATTTTGGAAAAACATGGATTTTTTCTTTCTTCTGAATACCTGTTCTGAGCTCACTACAGTAGGGCCCTAGAGCTTACAGCCTGTAATGGCAATAGCAACATAAATTCTTTAACAGATTTAGAACAAGTAGTTCAGCTCATCTCAATTGACAAGACAAGGCTTTTGGCTAGAGCATGGTCAAGAAAATTTAAAGCAGAAATAGCCTAAAATGTTACCTTGATCGTTAGATTTTTCACTGCTAGTTCTTCCCATATTGAGGCTTTCCTAATCAAGAGAAAGAAGAAAGATCAGTCAGAAATATGCAAAAAACCTGTGGGCATATTTGGTACTTATATAGCAATATTATCAAGGTACTCCATATACACAAAATATTAAATTAGGCACAGGAGGAGAGAATGGGAGCATCTTTCTGGTACCCAGGATTAATTACAAGTAATTCTGCTCTAAAATAGGATTTAATACATGTGATAGTTAAACACTTCACCAGATGCAAAAAAGAGTGCATGAATTAATCCCAGGTAAATAATCCAAGAATGTAGCAGAACCTAGGACAAAGCAATTCCCAGCAGACAAAAAAAAATCATCCTGGCATTTGGGAGGTGGTAAACTAAGTAGTATGGATCTGGTTTCATTAAAAACAAACAAACTAACAAGCAGACAAACCAAAGAAACATCAAGGAATTCAGATCTAAACAAAAAAATGACCTATCAAAGCAGGCTATGAAGATGTTCAAAAAATAAAGCACCTGTCGTTCAAAAAACAAAGCACCTGTCATTCAAAAGGACAGCAGATTAAATAGAAGAAAACTAAGAGGGAATATGGCTGCTGAATATAATTTTAATATGAGTTCTTCTCACAACAGAGACTACTTGAGCTAACAGGCGACACTGGCCAAAACCAAACATAGATAAAGCCCGCATCAGTTTTTATTAAGATTTGAAATGAAAACTCAAGCCCTGAAACAGCTGTTCGTAAGCAGAGTCCATTCAAAAGTCACAAGGCAATTCAGAAAGCATAGTTTATGGCATGTATTGCAGCATTTCACTGCTGTTTTTGAGTTTATTCTGAAGAAGGTATTTCCTCCACCCTTAGAGCATAGATGTTATGTGACTGTAAGGTATTCACTACAACAGGAGAGCAAAAATAAATAGTTTTCTAGACTAAACTGTGCTTTGGAAGAAATTTGTTGAGCTAAATTAAAAGTACAACTAAGTCATTCCTCTGTGTGAAATACCCTGCAAAATTTCTCCCCATCATCCACTTTTTTGCCAACCTGCTTCTGAAGTACTAAGATAAAAAGTTGATATGTAAGAGCAAAGATAGGTAGGTACAATAAACCTTGTTGAAACCAGCACACATAACCAGTATGACATTTCAATATAGTGTGCACAAAGCAAGTAATTGACCTCCAAGCAAGTTTTCCGACACTGCTTAAAAATTAGGTTAAAAAGTTTACTTTTTTACAGAGAGATTTAAGAACAAGTGGTTAAGCATTTTCAAACATACATCATTTTCAGGTTTATTTACCCCTCTTGCTGAACACAATAAAAAAATCTAATTAAGCAATAAAAAAATGAATCCTGGAGATCATATTAAGATAACAGACAGAAATTATGGAAGTTTGTCATCACACTTAGGTAGCTCTGCACAATACCATGAAGTCATTCTTAGTTCACAGCCTTCCTCAGGCAGCAGACTCACAGAGTCTGTTGGAAGGAAGCAACAAGGACCATCGACTTCCACTCTTAGGATTGCTTATTCTTCTTATAACTGGAATTAAGATAATTTTCTATAACTATGTATGGCAGAAAAAACATCTCATTGCTGTTACATTTTGCAAACATTTCAGAAAATAATGTCAGTGTGAGCTTTGCAAAGACACACAGACAGAAACTCTAGGCTTGCTTCACTTTCCATCATGTCTTAATTTGACTTAGCATTAGAAAATAAATTTTAAGTCTGAAAAAAAAGTTTATTAAAAATGAAGATGTTTCTGATGCCAAGAAAACTGATTTAGAGGAAAGGTTTAATCTAGTGGAAGTCACAACATAGTGTGATTGTTTTGGAGCATGAGACGCAGCCCACACATAACAGAAGCTCAGGTGTGATGATCTCTGCAACAGGCAATCCCAAAATGAGGACACCAGTAGCCAATTTCAACATTAGCTGTGCCCAAATTCTTTACACATGAAACACCTGCCGAATACATCCTTCTGAACATACTCTTAGCTGAAGTCTTAAAGAACCACAAGAACCTGTTGCCAAAAAAACCCTCAAGTTCAAGAGCTTGGCTGCAAAGTACAAAGGCCAACACTTCATGTGATCTAGCACTTGAACAATAATGACAGGACATACCCATGCAGGCAGAGTAAAAGAGAGGGACCCCGTGTGCCAGCTGCACTGGAATGTTTACAGAAAGGCTCTGAGGCTGCTTAGCAACAGCCCCTCTCCAAAGTTCCAGGCTTGGCCACACCCAGTCCTGGTGGGACTCTACTATAGAAAGTCCCACTTGCAGCTTAGAACTTCTCAATTATCATGGGATGGTTTGGGTTGGTGGGAACCTTTAAAGATAATTTGATTTCAGCCCCTCTGCCATGAGTAGGGACCCCTTTCACTAGACCAAGAGGCCCATCCAAGCTGGCCTATATTGGGGCATCCACACCTTCTCTGGGCAGCCTGTCCCAGTGCCTCACCACCCTCCCATTGTATATAGCCCCACTGCATATGTAGTGGCACCTAGGGAAATCTCAGCCTAAACACATTTATCTCACTTCTTCTGTTGTCAAAAGGAGAAAATCCCTAGCCAATAATGTGCACAAAGGATTACTAATAGGGCTCATTTAAATAGCTTTGCAAGATGGTGAAAAACCCTAGTCACTTTTAATTTTGACAAACAAAACAGACTGATTTGTAGTGGTGTAAATACTTTGTCAAGTCTGCAGCTTTGGTGGACCTCAAAAGCACCTTTTCTTCAGCTTTTATCCCAACCTATATACTACAGAAAGTATAACGTGAAACAGATTTGATAGGACTATTTTCCATAAATACAAATGAACTGGCATTAATTCTACTACTTGCTTTTAATATGCTATTAATTCAGTTTTGTGTTATCTGTTCCATTACTTTTTCCAAGAAATTATGTGACACTGACAAGTCTATAATTTCCTGGCTCATTTCTTTTATTCTATTTAAATATTGGCATGTTACCTTTCCTTTGCACTTTTGAAATTTCGCCTGTGTAGCAAGAGTTACTGAAAATCAACATTAACAGTCCAATTCCTCAACAGTGCCTTTAAACCTGTAGGATACAGATTATCCAAACCTGATAATTTAAAAATGTTTCATTTTCCGTTTCAGAGCAAAAAGAGAAACAGCTTCAAAGTTCCTGAAGCAGATACAGCTCTTATCCCTCCAAATCAAGCCAGTAAGAACTGGGAATGCCCAGGATCCCGCATCACTTGAAGTAAGTCACAGAGGACAATGACAATAACTTCTGACTGTGATACAAAGGAGGACGTCACAAGTGAATATCCTTTGACCTGTTAGTTGTTAAAACAAAGTTGCTTCTGGTTTGGCATATGTGGAAAGTGAGATGTAAGGAGCCTTAGGAATATCCACAGTGCACGTATCAAACATAGGAGCAGAAGTCAGGGGGTCTGAACAACTCATGGTCTAACAGCTACTGGCAGATCCTCATACATCCTCCCCTATTAACCCAGAGATTCCAACCAAATATCACAGCAGAGCGCAAAAAAACCGTGTACAGCTGTTCATTATTAGCTGTTTATCTTTTTATTGGAATCAAAGTTAGCACTAACTATGAAAAAGGAAGTAAAACAAATAATTGCTGGAGTTTTTCTTTCTTCTGTACAATTGCTGGGGCTTGCCTCAGAGTGACTTTTTTTTTTGTAAAGCAGTCAGCATATATGGAATTATCATGATGCATAATTACATGTAATTTTTTAAAGAATACTGATAATAATTTTGTATTTCACACTATCTTTTTAAGGAGATAATGGACAAAAAATGGTAATGGAGACATACATACAAATATTGTGTTAGAAACCTAGAAAAAAAGATAGGGAGATTACATGTCAAAATAGACCAGTCAGTACAATATTGATAAAAATTATCCACGTTCTATCTTTACTTGTTGCAAGGTTGATGTTCTGAAATTTCCAAGTATGCATAAGCATAAAAAAATAACGAAGTCAAAGATTAAAAAAAATAAAAATTTAAATAAATGTCTGATATAGTCTACTAATAAAACAGTCAGACTTCCATATAGCATTTTCTGAGATATATTCAAGTAGGAAAGCAGCTGAGACCAACTGAAACAAGCTATAATGTTAAAATATTGAATTGCTCTTGGCCAGAGTAGCTAACAAGAGTTATAAATTTGAATTCTATTCCTTTATGCTTACTGCTTGGAGATGTGGAATAAGCTAGTAATAGTATGAAATCTTTATAAATTTAATAGTGTATTTGCTTCTTTGTGATTTAGCATTCTAAAACACGCAGGCAAAGAAAGTCTGCATCAAGAGAACATCAGTGACTCATATTGAGGGGATGGGCAATACCATATCTGGGATTGCTTTTATAATGCTAATTCAGCTCAGCTGTGTGAGTCCCTTTCCAAAAGGGGTCATTTAATGAGAGTATTCTTTTTCATAAAATCCTGTCTCTCTCGGATCTGGGAATAAGTCAACATTTGTGTTGAAGAAGATGCTAAATGTGAGGCAGCCAATCCCTCATTTGATGTAGAAGAGGAATTTGATGTAGTGAATGATGTAGCACTTGCAGAACAGTTGCTGGATTTAGGAATTTAGGAGTATTGCCCAGAAGAATACATATTGCTCTTTTTCTATAAAATTCCACGGCCATACTGGAATAACTGAAATCGTTATTTTTCAAAATTGCAACTAATTCTGTTTTCCTCATTCTATACCGAATTTTAAATCCTCCAATTTGATTTGTGGAATTTTAAAATCTCATTGTTGCAATCAAACATTTAGTAGATTGTAGTCTCAAAGGAATTCCAGCTACCCTCGGTTAGTCAGAAGCTGAGCTAAAGGATACCAGCTATTTATGTAAACCAAAGTGACTGTGATAATTTGTCCTATTTTTCCTTTTTGTAGTGTTCTTGGAACTTAATTCCAGGGGACTGTAGGCAGTCTGAACTTACAAATTACTATGAAAAATCAGCTCCAAGGTACCCCAGCTTAGGCATCCAACATTAGTGAGCAATTTTGGCCATACTTCCTTTGTTGCCATCTAAAAGCTGGAATGAATGGAGATGGAAATCTGTATATAGTGTCTGAATAGCCATGCAAATGTACGTTCACCAATTCCCTGGCTTTTTGCCCTGCTCCTAAGATAAAGAAACATCCATACTTGGACTTGAATTTCCATCAATGGTTCTCCATCCCGGTATTTGATGATCCAGGTGTATTGAAGGATCTCAGGGAACATCAAAAAATGGTTTTCTTGTGCAACCTATACATCAGCTTAATTTACTTTCAGCAAGCAAAGATGATACCACTGACAGAGCTCATGAGAGTCAAGAGAAATTAGTGGTTGTTTATTAAGTGCTTAGGTGCTGTCATGAGGAACATGATAGAAAAGTCTGTAAGATATCAACACTGTCTATCAAGAACAGCATTTGAGAAGAGAGTGATAAATAAAATGCAAGATCATATGTTGAAATGGGGAGAAAATGATAGTGAATTATTTGGCGGGTATATAGAAAGAACAGTTTATTATCTGATAATGCAAGCAATTGAAAAGTGCCTTTGCAGAGGGGCTTAAGCTTGCATGGACATGTTAAATTCTGACCTACTCTAAACTTCTCATCTTATATGATTATGGGCCATTTCCTAGATGTTTGTTAAAATAAAAACTATCTACTATCACACTCCAG